AAGAATGTTAAATAATTTTTTTTATCCCGCTGTTATATGTGATGCATCTGTGTGATTGGATTCATAGGTGCCCACAGCATGGGTCAAGGGCGGTCATGTGTCCACCACTGGAAATCATACTGCAATTATATATATAAATTTTGACGAGTTTAATCATGCAAATGAAGCTGAAAATATGTCACAAGATTTTGTTCAAAATGTTTAATAAATATTAGCTTTAGTTTCTGACTGCTTCTTATACTAACTCTCCTGGCCATGACTGACTGATTCCCCCCACCCAAGCAAAAAATCCTCCCAGCACTCATCATTTGTTACATGATGTTCAATGACCTTTCCCTTAAATGCATATGTCCGACCAACTACATAATATTCAACGACTTGCTCAGCCGTAATAATTTCAGTAAATTAAATAGTAAGATGTGCATTGTGGAGTAATTTTATATTGTTTGAATAAAGAAAACTGAATAATTTTATACATTCAACATTTGAGAAATTTTCAAATTTATAGACAAGCCATTTGTGACCATCAACTTTCGCCATTACAGGAGTAAAATCTAGAGTTCTTTTTTTATGAAAACCCTAAACAGTTTTGCACATGACATTCAATTCGCACATGGCATTCTTGATATCTTGTCAAACATTATCATATAACTAATCAGATCTTGTTTAAAGTTCAGCAAGTTGCTTGCCAAAAATGTTTGTAAGGCTGTTACGTGACTGTTATGTGAACTGTTAAGTAATATGAAATGTAACAAAATAAAAGAATTTCTTTACACAAGTAGCAAATGGACTTAACATAAATTGTGTAGCTTTAATTATAAATGTGTGATGACCATCATACTGAGAAAAAATCAGTGTGGAAACACTAGTATTTTCTTGGCACTCTTGAGATGGTTATGACAGACATCGATACCAACCTCAGTAAGATTTACAGATTCGAAGTGTTCATCCGTGCTACGTTGTTGTGCACAAACATCTGTAATATAAGTAAAATAACTGAAATTCTATACAAATATATCCTACTGACATGCCTGAATGTAGCTTTAATATTGACATTTGGTCTTTTTGCAGTACAATCAAAATTTTCATTTCTGACCAACCTGTGTGCATAATGTGTGGCTTTGTTGAAATAGCAATCATAAAATTTGTTTACTGTGATTCTTTTGTATTGTTATTTAAAGAGGATAGCACTCACATGCATCTAATTAAACTGAAATAATCTCCAGTTAAGGATTATGTATAATTTGATTACTTCTACTTAACATCTGTGCATCTTAAAAAACGTTTATCATGAAGAATTCTAAGTTATAGTAACATGTTTAGAAAAGTTAGTCAATATAAATTTGCATTGCTTAAAATCAGATTTTGAAATAATTTACATAAATTGAGTATTTTCAAGAAACTGTATAGCAACAACAGATCAATAATAAGGACCCAAAAATTTACTCTGACTTCAAGAGCTTAGTTCACAAGTCACCCTATGCATGTTGGCATACCACAGAACATATATAAAAGTCAAGTGGTGTATAAAGAATTAATATTATATACTGCAAATGAAAATAATGCAACACAATATAAATCAAGGACCATCTTATCAATATTTAAAGCACATACATGTATTAATACATTATAGACCCAATCAACTAAATAATAAATATATTGTACATAAATATATCTGCTTTTAGATTAAATAAGAATTTCCAATGGCAACCAAATTTGACAAGTTTGCAAATTTAGAAGCAACGAAAAGATGAATACAAAATATAATCAACAAATGTGGTGTAGCTACTTCCAATATAAAATCTTTCAATTGCTGGTTCACAAATATTTTATCAATTTTAAAACAAAAATCGAATTTTGTTTTGTATTTGTTGCATGAGTTACATTTTCTACCCTAATAAAATTTTAGTAATAATTAAATTTTACATGACACAATGATGAATCTTTTGTTGTTTTGTGCTAATTGCAATTGGTCACTAAGATCTTAAAAAATATTTAAAAAATGATTCACATGAGAATATTTGTGAAATCCTAGGGTATTGTTCAAAGTTGTTACTTTATGGATTACGAGTGCATTATATTGGATATTTTTTATATATATCTTGACTATAAAAATACTGTCTGAGCTTCCTCTGACCCTTGCCACCTCATTTTTATATTTGGACATATATCTTGGAGAAACTCAGACCATTGGATGCTGCTGCTGCTGCTGACTGCATTTATTCATTATGTAGCTGTCATTGATTTATGGTAATTATTATCCAGATCATAAAAGAAATCAGTTAAATATCTAATTTGTCCATCCTGTTATGCAAGTTACAGTGACAGAAATGGTCTGAAAAGCAATCATTCCATAGATCTACAAATATATTCATTTCATAGAACATATTTATGACATAAACCTACTTAAACAAGTCTGAACAAAATCAAATCAAAAATATTTTTAGTATCAAGAGTGGCAAGAGATCCAGCCAATCAGATCTATAATTTATTATTTATGTATGAGTCCCACAGCCACATGAGGCCTTGTTGATATAAGCTTATAAGTTTAATCAAAACTAGATCAGAAATATTATTTATGTATGAGTCCCACAGCTACCTGAGGCCTTGTTGATATAAGCTTATAAGTTTAATCAAAACTAGATCAGAATATTATTTAAGTATGAGTCCCACAGCTACATGAGGCCATGTTGATATAAGCTTATAAGTTTAATCAAAACTAGATCAGAATATTATTTATGAATGAATCCCACAGCTACATGAGGCCTTCTAGATATAAGCTTATAAGTTTAATCAAAACTAGATCAGAATATTATTTAAGTATGAGTCCCACAGCTACCTGAGGCCATGTTGATATAAGCTTATAAGTTTAATCAAAACTAGATCAGAATGTTATTTATGTACGAGTCCCACAGCTACCTGAGGCCATGTTGATATAAGCTTATAAGTTTAATGAAAACTAGATCAGAAATACAGTCTCCAGTCCAGAGAAGCAACTAGCACAGCCATTCAGATATAAGACCACCTCATTAAAATGCTGATATGACACTAATTATCAAGTTCAAATCAGATCACAATAATATCAACCTACAGATGTACATCTACTCTGATAATTAGATGCCCTAGAATGGACTGGCCTAAATGATTATTTCTTTCAAGAGCCAAGTACTGAAGCCATCTCTTATATTCTTGAAATGCAAACAACTTCCATTTGTTTGTTACAGTGCAACTTGTATATACAAAATCTTGTTAAAGTTGTCTTCTATGTACATGTCACTTGTTCACATGCTCAATGAAGTATTAAAAAAAAGACTTTCGACTGAATTACTATAGTCTCAAATTAAACCACATGCTATAAATGCTCATCCAATGTTTTTAGTGCCACTAAACGATAATTCATGTGGAAACGCCACCAAACAACTATCATATAGTTTCTTTTTGAGCAAATAAGACGGTTCTAAAATGCAACACTTACCTTTCCAAAATCAGTTTATGCATTCAAATAAAAGTGTTCAACAAATTGAAGTGAAAGTACATTGTAGCCTACTTTGGAATGCTTCATTTGTATACGGCAATCTAGGTTCAGACTTATTACCGGAACAAGAGGGTGCTCACGAGTTATTATGTACCTTTGAGAGTGACGTATGTAAGTTGAAGTTGTTTGCATTTCAAACATGCACAGTGGAGAGAATGTTGACATAACTCTATGCTACCTTGATATAATATGAATCACATTTATTTAGATATTATATGTTTGGAGATTGTAACTGATCTTAGCACACTAATAACTAAACTGACTGCTCCCCTTCCTTTGCTCCAAAACTCTGCCTTTAAAATAACTATTAAAATAGGGAGAATGAATTTTCCAGACTAAACAATACCAGCTTCAAAAAGTGCAATGAATGAATTACAAAATATATAAACACAATTAAAATAAAGTTATCGTATTTTTTATTATTTCACAATAAACCTCTGATGTTCATGAAGTGACAATGACCATTTTTAGCACATTTTTGAAAGATACACATCTGGAGTAAGGCCAAGCTGTATAGTTTATAACATCAATCATACACCAAGATAAGGGAATTGAAAGTTCTTTGAACAATTGCTAAGATATACAAGGTCCTTTCTTAAATAGCTAATATAACCAGCTAGGAAATCCGGGAAAATTCTTTTTCTTCTATGAAGATACGAAACTTTAGAGTGCCATCTAAGTTTGAACAAGCCGGAACCAATGAAAATACCGGAACAAAGGGTTAAACACAAAATTATTCCTAAAGTGATAACTTATTACAATTTTATTTCCATATATTTTTTAATTAACTTGTTATTGGTTATTGGTGTTGGTTATTTTACCTTTTTCTTTTCTTTCCTTTTTTAGAGGGACAATAATACTTTGATGGGGAACGGTATTCTGGGGCAATAACTCGTATGTAGCTAAAAATGTGTTAGGACCAAAATAATAGGATACTGTATATATGTTTATTATACATACTGAACTTTGCAAGCAATATGCAAGCTTGAATCAAGTTTCGGCAAATAGTGGTCAGTAGCCGGGCTGTTTAATTTTGAGACAGTATGATTGAAAAAGTGCTAATAAACTGATATTAATGTTTAACCACACTGTTCATTGTCAAGTGTATGAAAAATAAAATAATATTAAAATAACCAGCACTCATCATGTCAAAAGTTAAGACAGGCACAACAACACAAATGAGTATTTAAAAACTGAAAATAGAACACATAAAGTGATGAAATATATGATGTGATTATGATTTTTAACGTAGCTTTAACAATTTTTCAGTCATATCGCTACGATGTCTGCAGTGTGGCAGTTTATAGTGATGTATATCACTGGGGCATAATGCCGCAGACATGTATCATGATGTCCCACCCAGTCACATTATCCTGATCCCAGGCCGACCAGTCCTAACACTAACCTCTTAATGCTGAGCGTCAAACGAGGCAGCTGTTGGTACCATTTTTGTAAGTCTTTGGTATGACTCCACCGGGGATCGAACCCACCACCTCCCTCATCAGAGGCGGACGCTCTAACCACTAGGCCACAGGAGCGGTGAAATGTAAAGAAACACATAAAAGCTATATAAAAACGATAAGACGATTATTGGTTTCAGATGAAAAGTGTATTTTAAGGTGATATAAAGAGAGAAATGTTACTGTCACGATTATAGAGCACTTATAAATTGAGTATGTAATGTACTGTAACAATATATGTATCAATTGCAATTTACTTTTTCCGCTAGGCATTGTTGTAATTTGTTATGACTTTACATTATTCACTGGAATTACAAAATACTTAGTACTTTCTCGCTATTGTGTGGTTAATGTGACTCCATACAATGGGGTTTTGGAAAATGTCGTTATGTTACACCGAGACAGTTAGCATATGAACACTTTTCCAGTCTAGTGACACACCGGCGAATTCAAAATTGAAATTCAATGTAAATCCACTGGAATTCATTCGGAATACTCTGTACTTTTTTTCTTCTTGTGATAGAACTTTTGGGACTATTTGGGATTTAACTCTCAATTCTGTAAGTCTTTTAAACGTTCAATTGGTATTTTAGAAACATAAATTATTTATTGAGTTTCACAATACATAATGGTTTTCGCTCTTTTCTGTTACTTAGCTAAACACCATATAATAGTAACGATTTACACAAATAAATGTAGTCGAAATGGGCCAGAACACAGCGAAATCATATACGACTAACATTCTAATAAGAAGTGATACTCATAAGAGAGAGAGAGAGAGAGAGAGAGAGAGAGAGAGAGAGAGAGAGAGAGAGAGAGAGAGAGAGAGAGAGAGAGAGAGAGAGAGAGAGAGATATGAAAAAAAAACTAGTTTAAAGTTGGTGCACCTAAGGCTTTTATTTTTTAATGTGTAAATTAACCTCCAGTTGTAAAATCAATTCAAAGAAAAGCAGATTTTTAGCCACTTCTAACTCTAAACCTTTAAATAAAGAATCGTTTATGATCTGCTATTATTTCTCCCTTATGAAAACTAATACTTCTTCTGTCTTTGTATTACCATTATAAACACACTTATCGCAAGGTATACTTTAGGACTTTTGCAGATTATGTTTCATCACAGAGAATAAAAATATGTTATCTACATCTAAAATTATAAACAATTACAGCATACATATATCTTCACCTTGAAAACCACAGGTAATAAAGTCCTAATCAATATAGATAATAAACATGGAAAGTATAAAAGAGAACCACATAACTCTCCCCGACCCATGCAAGACAACATGCAAATTCTTCCAACGCAGTATTATTAAATTTGATTTTGACTTTGATATTTTCATACATCGAATATACAGTATCAAGTACTTTACCTTGTATTCCTCGTGAAAGTAATTTATACCATGTTTTCTTTGTAAATATATCTATCTTAAACGCAACGTTAGCGTTGACAAATACCTGATGGTCTTTCGCCCTATCAATCAGTGTGTTACATAGTAATATAGTAACCAATGTTGTCGAGGACATTCAAAGGGGTAATACTCTCAAACCAAATGACTCGGAATGTACAAGTATTACAAACTACATTTAAAATATAGATTTGATTTGACATGGCTATACCTTATCTATCTATCTATCTATCTATCTATCTATCTATCTATCTATCTATCTATCTATCTATCTATCTATCTATCTATCTATCTATCTATCTATCTATCTATCTATCTGTCTATCTGTCTGTCTGTCTGTCTGTCTGTCTGTCCATACATACATATATATATATATATATATATATATATATATATATATATATATATATATATATATATATATATATATATATATGTATATGTATATGTATTTGTATATATATATATATATATATATATATATATATATATATATATAGATATATATATATATATATATATATATATATATATATATATATAGTTTAATACAAACAATACTATCATACAGGTTAGAGAAATTAAATTCGTACTTTACCGAGTTTCGAACCCAGGGTTGGTGCGTGCAGGCAAGGCGATGGGTGCCATTTACTCGCGGACCTGGGTTCGAAACTCGGTAGAGTACGAATTTAATTTCTCTAACCTGTATGATAGTATTGTTTGTATTAAACTATTATTTCTGCCCACTATTATCAAGATTCTACTACAAAATCCAGGGATAGCACAGTCTGTTCTGTCTGATATATATATATATATATATATATATATATATATATATATATATATATATATATATATATATATATATATATATATATATATATAGTTGCCTTTTTTCTTTAATTCTACCAAAAAAATGGAAATATTAATTTTCTTTAAACATCAAAGTATATTGAAGAAGTCATTCCTTCATCATTTCAACTTTTAAACTTATATTATTACTTGATAAAATGTAAAAAAGCTAACGTTTGCAAGACCCATTTATGAAAGTCCATTTGTATTAATCTCAGTAAAGCCAATTATATCATCATTTTAAAAACAAAACGGTAAATTTTTCACGTTTTAATTTAATTTAATTCAGTTTAATTTAGAGTCTTTGTATGCAATAAGGAACTATTCCTATTTAGACCTTCTACCCTGTTTCCTTGTGTAAAGGTTTTTCTGATGTCCTCCCTTCTGTTACATGTCGCATTGCTGGCCTTGGAAATTTCGTTTGCTTAAGTGATTCCTGTATCTCATAATGATCATCTAGAATAGATTAACTATATACTATATGTAAAAACCATAAAGACAAAGCGTATTTTAAGTATTTGTTTCACATATCCAAAAATTTATAAGTTGAGCTAATATGTTTGGTTTTTGTGTAGCATTGGTCCTTCGCCATTGTTTAGAATCCTCCTTCTTATCATCCGTCTCCTGGCATGATTAAATGGTTGCGTCAAGATCGGGATCTTACACAGGACAACCGTTTGTATCACCGCCGTCAACACACTTTTAGCCACTATATTGTAGAATAGATGCATCACATAGCCATTGACTAAATAGTCCGTGCAGGTGAGTGCAAGACACTTTGTCTCTCTTGATATACTCGAACATAATTTTTATGTTTAAGATCCCCAAAATTGCAGTGGCTATATTTAACCACTTCCATCCGATTTAAGAACATGTCGTACACTTGATTTCATTACTAATCAGCTTAGATTGGAATCTAATAGAGCAAGTTTACTATTATGATCGGATACCTTGTATCTTGGCCATCACATTTTCTAGTATCGACCATCTTTTGTCCATTGCTATGCACTTGTACCGAGTTGTCAACGAATCTTTTATATATAATTTAACGACATGCAGTTAATATGAAGAAATGATCTTACCTTGGATTCCTGGAAATTCTTTTCGACCAGTAAGGCCGAGGGCCCTTTTGCGGCACTTTGTTATCAATTATCATCATTAATAAGTATGCATGATTAGTATTAACACAACTGAGATGGTAATCAATACTGAGATTGTTAGGGAAAGAAACGTGGTACATATATACTAGTATATTAGACACGTAAAATGGGGCTTGTTGACAGGTTGCATAGCAGGCAGATACTGTGATCCACAAAAAACAGTGCTTAGCATCTTGATAAAGAATTTTTCCCTTTCAAATCTAGCGGTTTCGCTGCTAGAAACATCCTACTCATCAAATCAAAATTATATTGTTTTGTTGCCATCTTGCTAGACTTTTACTCTGCTTTCTGCTGCTACACCATTACTGAAGGAATTACAACATAAGAGAATGGACAGAGACATGAATGAACCGTAGCGTATTACAGTATATTTCTTTCATAAATTATCAAACCTGCTTTTGGCACCATAAATAATACTTGTTTAAATATCATGTAAATGAAATATATGCTATAAAATGTATGCACTTACGCAACACATTCAAAGTCTCGATTATATATATTTTGATTAGATGAAGATGTCTTAATTGGAAATCTATATCTGAAGTTAGCAACAGTGACATGTGTGAAATAAAAATAGTTCAAAGGCCCACATTAAATCGCCGATCTAAATGAAAGTAAAGCTAAAATGTTGGCATTAACTGGCAAATGTATAAACAAAATATAATTAGGCAATTTTGATTTTCAAAACAGTCGAAGTTGAACTAAAACTAGATGTAAAATATTCTGAAAAGGGTATTGTACTCTTTCTAAATGCAATTAAAGTTGTGAATAATTGTTCAAAAGAGATACATACTACTGACAAAGGATTCCATAATAAATAGTACTCACCGTGTCAAATTATGCATTTTTTGTGACTAGTTTGCTAAACTTTCAATTTACTATACATTTAAGTTCAAAGCAGTATCTTTTTCCTCAAAACATAGCCTGTTTTAATTCGTTCGGGTATTCATATGGATACGTTTCAAAGCTTAAGTGTCTTCTATTCATAGGGATACATTCGTTTCAAAGATTTAGGCGTCTTCTATTCATATGGATACATTCGTTTCAAAGATTTAAGTGTCTTCTATTCATATCGATACGTTCGTTTCAAAGATGTAATTGTCTTCTATTCATATGGATACATTCGTTTCAAAGCTTTAAGTGTCTTCTATTCATAAGGATACATTTGTTTCAAAGTTATAAGCGTGTTCTATTAATATGGATACATTCTTTTCAAAGATTTAAGCGTCTTCTATTCATATGGATACATTCGTTTCAAAGATTGAAGCGTACTATATTCATAAAGATACACACCTTTCAAAGATATAAGTGTCTTCTATTCATATGGATACACTCGTTTCAAAGATTTAAGTATATTTTATTCATATGGATACATTCGGTTCAAAGATTAAATGTCTTCTATTCATATGGATACATTCGTTTCAAAGATTTAAGTGACTTCTATTCATAGGGATACATTCGTTTTAAAGATTTAACTGTCTTCTATTGATATGGATACATTCCTTTCAAAGATTTAAGTGTCTTCTATTCATATGGATACATTCGGTTCAACGATTTGAGTGTCTTATATTCATATGGATACATTTGTTTCAAACATTTAAGTGTCTTCTATTTATATTGATACAATCGTTTCAAAGATTTAAGTGGCTTATATCCATAT